AGCTACAGCACAAGATGGCGGAAAAGATGGAGGAATTAATTTTAATCGATGCTGAGAGTAACACTGAGTATAAACTCAGTATTTCTGTAGAAGATGCTAAGGATATATCCACACAAACTTGCCTAGCCGCATAAACATATACATAAAGAAAATTATCCAATTGCAGTTCTCTTTTAAAGTCGTACATAAAACGTGATTGGATAATTTTCTTTATGCATACGTTTATGCGGCTATGCAAGTTTGTGTGGATATACCTTAAGAAAGCAAGAAGTAGTGAGTAGATTTATAATTTTTTTGTAGTCTGCTTTTTGTAGTCACACTTATTTATTCTTATTTCGAATTCAAATTGATATCCTATGTACAAGAGGAAATCAAAAAGTAAATTTATTTTATTCACATACAATAGGCGTTAACAAAATATGTACATTATTTCTCAATCATTTAGCTTTGCATAAAATTTTGTTTAACAATCTACAAATCTGATACCATCTGTGGCAGCCACCGAGCGCCAGTCAAACGCGGACTCGCCGTACTACCTGAAGCGCGCGCGAGCACACCCGCGAAGTTTCTCGCAAGTGCTCGCGACGCGCGAATTACTGGTACCGCGGCCGCACCCCCAAGGGGCTGGCACGATAAACTCAGGCTCGCGTTTAAGATCCGCCGGCGGGGGAATATAAGCCCGCCGGACCAGAGACAAATCGCTCAGTGCCCACCGTTCTCACCGACGCCTACAGTGCCAGTGCGGAATGAACAGCAAACTGGAGAGGCAGAGGACGAGGCCCAGCAGAGTACCAGCTGGACCGGTACAACGGCAGCAGCAGCAGCAGCCGACTCCACCGCAACGAGGCAGGGGTACCAAGAGACGCGGAGCCGCCAGCGGCCGGAGCAGAGGTCGAGGTTCACGGGCGCCACCGGACACTCCACGGTCACCGTCGCCTACACCTTGGCGACTGGTGCTCTTGACGATCTCGCCGCAGCGCCTGAGGCTCACCCGTCCACCGAGGGCCCTGGTCAGCGTCTGGGACAGCAGGCTGCGCAGAGCAACGTCACCCTGCTACTTGACGGCGCCTGCAGCCCTTTCGCCGCTGGCAACAACGCCGCCTGCAGCTGTGTCACCGTCGCCACCGGAGACTCTGCCAAGGCTCACCACGGGCACGCAGACATCGCGGGACGACTGGGAGACGCCGCCGGGAACGCGCCGACAGTCACCGTCGCCGCATACGCCGCCGGGAACACCACCGGCCTTGAGGATACGCGACCTCAACAATAACCAGCCGTGGGGTCCGGCTAAGAAGACGCGCTGCCAGCCACAAATCGAGTACCGGGAGCGACTGACGGTATAACTCGCGCCGTACCAAACGGCCCTTTTCAGGGCCACATAAAGTACCAACAATCAGCCCTTTTTAGGGCCACCAAACATACTGTAATTACTGTGTAAATATATTGTACATAGAACGAACACTCTCTGGTCTTTCACACGAACCTAACGGAAGAAACTTTCAGCGATTTATCGACGATCCGGCAGAGAGGCCGAAGGTGACGGCCGCTGCATTATTAGCAAAGAGCGACTAACCTTCGACCCCCACAAACTGGTGACCCCGACGTGATCTAACATGGAACCGGATAAGTCGGTGATTATCGAAGAGAGCCCGCACGCGGGCAGAATAACCTTGCGGATTCCGCCGTTCTGGCCAGAATAGCCGGAAATCTGGTTCGCACAGATAGAAGGTCAGTTCGAACTCTGCCGAGTAACAAGCGACCATGAGAGATACATCCACGCTCTCTCCAAGATAGAGCCTAAACAAGCGAAGGAGGTCAAGGATATCATCATAAACCCTCCGAGCAGCGGAAAATATGAAGTCTTAAAAAAGGCATTAATACAACGGCTGATAGACTCACAAGAGTATAAAATACGCCAACTACTTGAAACTGAGGAGATGGGAGACAGAAAGCCATCACAGTTTCTACGGCATCTGGTAACCCTCGCCGGGATTGCCGTCTCTGAAAAGCTACTGCGCACATTATGGCTAGGACGCCTGCCGGCCCAGACCCAGGCCATACTAGCGACATGAGGCGAGGACAACCTCAACAGCGTAGCGGAGCAGGCCGACCGGATACATGAAATCAACAGTAAGACAATGGTCCAAGCTACAAGCGGACCACAGTCAACAAGTCCAACGGCAAACACGCTAGACGAGCTACAAAGGCAAATTGCCGCCCTCACGACAAAAGTGGAGAAAATGACCAGCGCATGGCAAAAAAGCAGGCCTCGGAGCAAATCGAGAAACCGGTCCGGAGGTAGAAAGCACCGCCAGGTCTGCTACTACCACCGACGTTTCGGAGCAAAGGCACGCAAGTGTGAACAACCATGCCATTTCGTGGCAGACGAGAAGAGCACGGAAAACACACAGGGCTCTCAATGACAGCGGCCGTTGAAAACAGCCCAAAATTATGCCGCCTACACGTCATCGACAGGGTGACAGATCGAAGATTCCTTGTGGACACGGTATCCGATGTGAGCATAATACCTTCCCCTCATAAGGGGGGTAACACAAGGCCGACCTCGAACCAACTGTACGCCGCCAACGGCACGTTGATACCAACGTACGGCATAGTAGCACTCCAACTGGATTTCGGACTGAGAAGAGCATTTCCGTGGAGATTTGTGATAGCCAATACAACACAACCGATACTGGGAGCCGACTTCTTGGCGCACTACAGTCTCTTGCCAGACATGCAGAGAAGGAAATTAATAGACAGGAAGACCGGCCTGACGACCGAAGGAATCGCGAGCATTTCATCAACGCCTTCCGTCAAGACAATCGTCACACCAAGCAAGTACCATGAGGTTCTAGCAAAATATCCTGATCTAACAAACATCACGGGACACCAGCGCGAGGCGAAGCATGAAACGCAACACTACATCAAAACAACGCCTGGTCCACCCGAAGCATGCCGACCACGCAGACTGGCCCCTGACAAGCTGAAAGCGGCCAAAACAGAGTTCGACCTAATGCTAAGAGAAGGCATTATACAGCCTTCAAAGAGCCCATGGTCAGCACCGCTACACCTGGTACCCAAGAGGGACCAGACATGGCG